CATTTACATAAGGAATAAGAAAGAAATTTTAAGTCATTACAAGTGCAGTTTCTGAAACTTTCTTTATAATAAACCACCGTGTGCCAGGTAATACTTTACAATAAACTCAATTTCATGCGCATAATTACATGAGGTAACTATTGTCCTAACCACTAATTTGTGGCAATACAGAACTCTTTTCTGCAAAACTCTGTAATCTATTTCTACTCTTGGTCAGAAATAATAATTTCATTGCAATACTATTACTATTAGTAATGAGTAACCATTAATAACAAATTACAATAATATATTTTTCTCAAAAAGAGCTTCAGAAAAATATGCTTGAGTTCAGCTACAAATTACTTGGAACCTACATGATTTTGATTAAGTATCAGTAATTACAACACACAGTGGATTCTAAGCAAACAAGAATCAAAAGATATTGAAAATAATTTCCTATGAATTACAACTTACATTACTTGCCAGTGTAGCAGCAAGCTGATTTTGCCTAAAAGAAGCACTTTCAAGAGGATTGTAATGATGCTTCTTATCCTTCATTTCACTATCAAATTTTTCTTTGTATTTAATCTGTCGTGAAAGAAAAAATAGGATAAATTAAATAGCACATTTATCTTTAAGTTTAAAAGTAACACGTTTCTTAAAGAAATCAAATAAGAGCTACGCTAAAAATGAATGGCTGCAAAGTTGAAATTCTTGGTATCCGCCCCCCTCAATAAAGCCTAATTGGGCATAAACATTAAAAAAAACAAAAACAAGAAAGCTCTACTTGAACATTGATCACAAATGCAATTAGGCATGAACTCAAATCCTATTAGCAAGAATTATGCACTAAAATATCAAGAATTTTTAAATGTCAGTTTCCATTTCTGCATTCCTATAATTTATGATCAATTAGAAACTGTGACCACAAATGTCTTAAGGTCTACCACATGTGGAAAATGTGTCCTAGGCCCCGGAATTTGCATACGAATTTTCCTAAGGGAATTATTCCAAATAAAGGGCATGGTCTGTACCATGGTTTTTCTCATTATTTCCCGTATTTCATTTGTTGGAAAATTTAGTTTTAGGAATTACATTTTCTGAAATGTCCTGGGTCTATTTAACGTCATTTTTTTTTCTCTGCTTTAACTCTACAATTTATTCAGCAAGAAAACCACCTCCAATATTCACTCTAAATTATTTTTCTCTTTTTAAAGTAGTCTTGTAACAACCAAAAAGGATTATCAATTTATCTTTTAGAACTATAGTTTTTCTCCAAGTATAGAGAATTACGTGAAAGTATGTTAACTAATTGGAATATAA